ACCATATAGTAAGTACATGTATTTAATACTCAGTACATAAATGTGTAATTACACTGTAGCAAGGAAATCTTAAAATAAACCAACCATCCTAAGATGGTTTGCTGATTTGCTGCTCTCACAGGGTGGTCTGTTGACTGGTTTTAGAAGACTCAGCTAAACACCAGCATGGCCAGGCTGGGAGACTTTAAACCAGCAAACTCTGCCTTAAAACTTAGTGGAGAAAATGAAAGTATCATGGTGGGAGTAGAAATCCTTTGACTTGTTTTGATGTGTTTTATCACAGGAAAACCTTGAGACTGAGAGAGCCAGTGCTCAGACAGAACCTGTATCTCCAGAACCTAGTGTAGCAGGTATGTGTTTATTAATCTTGAGTTTTCATGCAATTCTGTTTTAGACAAAAGCCTACTGACAGACTGAGCTAAAACAAGACTGCATACTCAACTATGCCCTGCAGTCTCTTTTGTTGAGCCGTCCTACTGCATCATTTTTCCTAATAAACATTACATCATAATGACCATTAAATCATCTTGTTATAACCCTTTACAATTCTCCAGATGTGAAGTGGCCTTTTGAATTGTGTATCACCACCATCTAGTGGTTCACCACTGAAGCACTTTTTCCTGTTTAACTCCTTTTGGCTGATGAAAAACTGTTAGCCCATGTGTGATGTGCAGTTTCTTTTGATTGTATAGACAAGAACTCAAGTAAACAAGATAAATCAGTAATTCTGCCGTCTCAAAGAAAAATGATTTTCCAACCACTCATAAGCACAATTTGTCAGTAAGCAAGATTACAATCTTCAATCTACAAAGGTCAATCTGCTCAGACCAGAATGCTTTTCACTGAAAGTAACAAAGCAGAATTCTCTCTTTCTTTTTTAAAGGAATTAAATTTTTTCCCAAGGTGATTGCAAAAAGGTTTGTGGTGAAGCAGACTACCTATCACTGATTTCTTGTTTTCTCTTTTGGCTTTCAGAGCTCAAAGAAGAACGGAGACTCATTCAGAGGGAACTGAACGAACAGAGTTTAATAACCAACAACACAAATAATCAGAGTACCAGAAACCCACACATCCACATAAGGTCAGATCAGCTTTCTAGAATAAGTCTTTGTATCTGTCTTGAGAAAAATGCAAAGTCATGTAGCTGATCCAATGCACTTTTGGAATGTGTGTGTGTGTGTACATTTAAAAATGTATGTCTAGGCTATATATATATATTTTTTATTTTATAGGGAGACATGCAAACCTGCTCTCTCTGCAAATGATTTGGAAGGACCGAAACCATTAAACTCAACAGTTTCCTATTTGAAACCTTGTCCACCCAGAGACCTAAACCACATCAGGAGTGATCCGCCACTAATGAGCTCCTCAAGTGCTCAATCCACGATCCCTATGTCTGCTTTGGAACAAGGGGACAAAGAGTGCAAGTACAGAGCAAATTCACTAAGGGCTTCAACCTTCAGACTAGTTCCAGCAGCCTCAGTCAAAGCATCCGGTTCTGTGAAAGACTTATTCCTAAAGATGGAGGTGACTAAAAATAGTGACCTAGTCTGTTTCCAGCCCGTTCCTCCTGCAGTGCAGAGAACAGCCAGCAGGGGACAGAGGGGGAGCAGACATCTATGTCTTCCTCAGTCTGACCGACTGCTCAGTTCTCTGTGAGAATCACTGTATGCTGCTCTTCACTGTCACTGTCAGACATTTAAACTGTTCAATGCACATAGGAAAAAACCCACAGCGATAAAACACAAACCACAATCTGATCTTTAAAATAAACTTTATTTACCATTTCAAATTGAACAGTTTACAGCTGACACGACTAAGACAATTTCAATGCTGTTTGGCCCTAAAATTGAAAAGACACATGGTTAGATACTGTATGTTTGATAAAGTACTGAGCTCATGTCATTGTGCTTGTCATTCTACTTCAGTTTTATATTGCCATGAGCACTGAAGTACACACACTATTGTAAAGACATCGCTTCTTTTAGAATGCAGGACATGGGAGAGAAAGGTTTTATTTTATGCATTATTTTCTGCTGCTTTCAAACATGTTTTTAAAGTGTAGTAACAACATGAAAATACATGATACTGTTGACATTAACCAAAATAATTCACAGTTTCAACTGAGATATGCTGATTCTGTTTATAGATGCAGGACATGGGAGAGAAAGGTTTTATTTTATGCATTATTTTCTGCTGCTTTCAAACATATTTTTAAAGTGTCGTAACAACATGAAAATACATGATACTGTTGACATTAACCAAAATAATTCACAGTTTCAACTGAGATATGCTGATTCTGTTTATAGTTTTAATTAATACAGCAATAAACCTGTGCTCAATGGATATTTCCATCTTGGACCTAGAGGTATTTGTGTTCGTATTTTCCACCAAATTCTAATATTTCTGTTTTAAGGTGTATGCCATCACAATTAAATTTACACTAAGAAATATCCAGGCCAAATTAGGAGCAAAGTCCATTTAAATTTCTTAATATACCCAAATAAATTCCATTATTCAATTTTGATCGTTTTAAATGCATTTCAAAAATATTCAAAGTGTTAAAACATTCTTTCCAGGTAATCAAATGTGCTTTCTCCGTTTCCTTAACATTGTGCATAATACATGAAACTGGATCACAGGTCGACAGTAATGTTCTTAAAGGGGTTGCAGCACTACAAATACACTTGTGTACAATACTGAGATGAAGATATAACATTGTTGGCTTTAGACTGTGTCCTTCTTCATCAATAAACGATTTCTGTTTGACCAGATGCTGATGTAAAGAGCAGTTTCAGCAAAAAGCCTTAGTTTGGCAATGAGTTTGAGATCAGCTGGCTTGAGGAGGTTTAGGGGGCGAAAAAATGTAGTGTCACTGAACATAGCTAAAAATGATTACAACTGATGGTAAAATACAGTTTTAGTACTATAAAAATAAAAAGGAAAAATCTCTTACAAAGGTAGATTCTGCTTGTTAAATGGCAAAAACGGATAATTACATACTGATTAAAATTACGACATCAATAGTGACACTAACATGAACTAGGTTTGACTCAGCAGTTGAACGTCCACTACACAGAACACTCTGTACACATAACATTAGCTACGTTACAATAAGAAATAAAGTAAAAACAACTACAAATAAACCCCACTACAGCAACCCCCCCTGATAAAAACAGAAAACACAAACATACACATCAGTTGAGTTTTTGTCTTTTTTTACATTACTGTACAACGGAGAGAGGTGGGGAACAGTGCAAGAACGGCACTGATGCATAACAAGTCTATTGTTAAAAAGAGTTTGCATGTCAAGGTCAAAATCCAGGTTTGTTCACATCGCAGTACCTAGAGACAGACACAAGGTCTTCATGCCACGTTCAAGGTCTGAGGACCACACATCAGAAAATTGAGAGGGCTTCAATCTTGTGCATTCACATTTCTGACAGCGATTAATCATACTGTAGCTACTGCGCACGTAGCCAGCTAAAGTGAACCAGTAAATAAAAGTGCTGTTAGTCTCACGTCACCTAAACTGCTGCTCTCATCTACTGCACTAATTGTCTAACAGAGGAAAAGCTAGAGTTTGTGACCTGCATGTACGGTTGTGCTAAGACCAATGAACCTCTAACTACTCCCCTGAGTGTCCGATACCTCCTGTTAGGCAGCAGGGTTACTTTAATTCTTCTCTCTTTTTTCCTTACTTCTTAAAGTTAGATTGTTTTGTATATTTTTGGATAAAATGTTAAACATATATATATATATATCATACCTTCATGCAAATATTAATAAAATGTACAAATAGCAATGACGTAGACTATTATGCCATTAGGTTTTTGAATACTGACTTTATCTGTGACCTGCTCCATCATTTTGAGTCATTTTGGCCCAGAAAGAGTTTTATTCAGAGAAACATCTCAAACAAATATAAAAAAAACTTTCAAAAACATAATTGTTTATGATCCGTTGCGGAAATCTAATTAAATGGTGCTGTCATAAAAACTTGTGAGAAAATGGCATCTAAATTCCAAACAATTCTCAGACATTTTTGATAGAATCTGGAGATTTATTTAAGCTTACTTTAAATAAGACATCAATTACATGTGTTTACAGTGCATATATTTACGATTTTACTAATATGCTCTTCTCTAAGCTTTTTTTTAGCAATGGACACAATGACTTTCCTGAGGTAAAGGTAACGTCACGTAATGTTGTTCACAAGCTGTTTCATTCACGTCTTTCTGCAACTGAAACACGATTACATGAGAGATGACAAATTTAGTTGTACTGCATCTTTCAAAATACCTTCTGATGTTCATTTGTTTTTTTAGTGCTATAATTAGTAGTAAAGAAAAAGAGATGATCTGTTCGCTCGCGCTCCATGCGGCCTTTAAACTGAGGCAGCTTTAGCGATCAGTAGCTGGGTTTCTATCCAAAGCTGCGAATTTAACTTGTGCGCAAAATTGAAATATAGCATAAAACATTTGCGAACAAGCACCGTTTCCATCTAACGAGTCAAAGAGAACAAAACAGTCACTTCCTGATATAAATCACTAAGAAAAGTAGGAGAAGCTACTGAATATAATAATTTTCATATATAATAAATTACTTGCGCCTCAGAGCGAGCAGACGAGACACAATGAATGCGGTCATTGCTTTCGGAGGCGGATGCTGCTGTTTGGGAACGCAGTCGTGTAAGACATTTCTGGTAGGCAATTATACAGAAATACTTTGATGACAGACTTTGCTCGGGCATTTCCGAATGACCACAACGACATTTCAGATGCTGTGGAATGATATCGGTCCACTGGTTAGTCAGGATTTGCCGTCCCATAGCGCAAAGTCACATGACTTTTTTGATGCGCTTGGAGGAATTTATTCGCAAAATGCATTTCCATCTCCCATTCTTCACATTAACCCTTTTTCGCACAAGTCAAAAACAACCTCAAGCGAGCGTAAAAACTTTTTTGCGAATTAAGGGGTTTTTATTCGAAATTTGGCGTTTCCATCACTCGTTTCTCATGCGATACTTCAAAATGCGCATTAAAATAGGGCGATGGAAACATAACTTATGACATCAAAATGACATGTTCGAATTTCATAATTAAATTAAGCTAATTTGAAAGCTGAGACTTTGTATTATCAAACTTCGTATTATCAAAACGAATGCAACAAAGCATTTCTTTGCCTCATTCCGACTCAAAATGAAGGAGCACGTCACATATTGCATTTCTCCTCGCACAACACAGGAGAGAAATACCAAATAAACTATTTTGTCTTGACTATATACAGAGATTCAATGTTTAATCAGAAGTCTCAATACGTGATGCGTCAGCACATTAGCAGCTGCATAGCCAGACTCCCTGTTAAAAGGCGTCAGGCGACATCCCAGACAAATTCACAGTGTAACCAGGACTCTTCATCCAAGTATATGTTCCACTACAACCGTATACATCATAAGTAAAGGGGCCTTGTTGAAACATCACTGAAATTATATGATATGCGGCATCTAGCCATACCAACAATATGACCAAAATTCTCCATACCAGTATATCTCCTCTCTACAAAACCAGAACGAAACAGAATGCACCACATTACCATAAAATGCTGTGGTTTCTATTGTAAAAATTGGATAGTTTGACCTTTTATTTGTCTAGCAAGTCTATTTAATGTTGTTTTAAAATACTAGGCCAAAAAAGCTGACTTCCCCAACGATTTCACTAACTAACCACAGTGATTTTTGACTGATGCTACGTTTACTTCTGGTCATTCCACATGCAACCTTGAGTTACCTCTTTTTTCAGTGTTCGATGACACAACCGTTCAGCTCAGCACAGCCAGATGCCTTTAAATGACACATACACACCAGTTCAAGTCTCTTAACACACACAGACAACAAAAAATACACACAAACATACCAACTAAATCAGAACACAAAGGCCTGTGCACATGTTTTTGGTAACATGCCTCTTTTTCCGTGTAGAGCGGGGTTAGTGTGCATACTACAGTACTGAATCTAATGAGGAACTAGCTGCTTCTTTTATCGCACACATGCTCCCCTCGCTCAGGAGATGCCTCGGCTCGAGATGCCCGGAAGACTACACAGATTTGGCATTTCATGTGGAAGTTCCTACATGAAAACCCCTCTCCTTCATGTCAAACACTCAACATCAGCAATAAATCATCTCAAGGTGTTGGAAAATGTTTTGCAAAAAACAACCCTGTTTGTAACCCTGAGAATGGGCTTGAGAAGTTATATGCCTCGGTCCAGATACCTCAGTCAGTAAGAGCTTAAGACCAAATATCCTTTGTTTTGTATTTGTGCTCTCACTTAAATGGAAATCAAGTTGATATTCTCTTGGCCTATGCTTATTTATCGGTATCAGCCAGTCTACTTGGCCAGTTAACAAAAGTGTTAGCTCCAAAATTGACTGGAAATCTAGTCAATGGATAATAGATGTTCTGTTTTGTAGTTTTAGGTGGATTTTGAGTTATTATGGTGTTAAAAGGTCATTTAACATGCATTATATCATGTACTGGCATTACACTGACCATCAGCCACCCTGCTCTCAGACACCAACATTGGCCATTGAAAACCCCATATTGGCTTGAGAATGAGATGGTCCCCAAACAAGAAAATGGGTACAAAACAGAAACTGAAAATAACACTCCATTTAACAGTGCCATTACAACATTACCACAAAGAATATTTGGTCTTCAGCTATTAAACCTGACCAGCACTGCCGCCACTATACATACGCCAAGTCCAACTGTAGCTTCTGCTGCCGCTACAGTCACATTTCCAGACTACTCAACACAGAGTGAAAATATTGTACAATGCGCTATATACACACTGCGTGTATGCAAACACCTCTTGTATATGAACATGTCTTTTTTCTTGTCTTTAAAAAAAAAATAAACTGCAGTATTAAATTAAGTGAACAAAAAGAAAAAGGTTTTGGATGACAACCAATTTCTCTAGAGGTTAGATTTCATAAAGCCCTTACAATATGTAAAGGTCTCCAGCGAGAGTGGCCTGTCCCGCAGTGTGGGAATGGGAACCGTCCTGGGGGGAGGGTGGGGAGGGGCTCCTCTATGCGCTTGGTGAGGGGTTTAATGTGGAGCCGTTGCTTCCTGGGATGGTCAAACCGATCTCATCCTCTTTCTCCTTGAGTTTCTCTTTACCCTCATCCTTCAGGTCTTCTTTGAGAGGGCACACCTCCACTGACTCAGGGCCTGTAGTGGCGTATCGGCCCTTGCGGTGCTCCTGGAGAGCCGGGCCCCAGTCTGGGTCAGGCTTCACGGAGTTCTTCAAACGCTGCAGAGGTAAGAGTCGATTTATCAACTGTTTTAATGTAGGATTGACATATTTTAAAGCTAAAACTAGATCATTTTTCAGGAAAATAATAGTTGTTACCATGATTAACTTTTTTTCTTAAGGCATATTTACACCAAGAACAAAACGTAAAAAGCAGACCAGATATTCAATGGCATGAACAAAGAGGAAATTTACTCCAATACTATAGGTGGCGCAATGCACTGGCTGCTCCGACATTTTCCAAATTAGTACAGAAAATAATGTTATGTCTGTGCAAAACATCCAGAATAAACAAAACATTAAAGATGAAGTAATAATGAAGTCATGCTGCATCGGAAGATGGTACAATACATTAAAACAACTGCGGAAGCTAGTTTTAAAGGGATAGTTTTTTTTCAAAAATGAAAATTCTGAGCTTTCTGACCCTGCATAGACAGCAACGCAACTACCACGTTCAAAGGCCCAGAAAGGTAGTAAGGAAATTGTTAAAATAGTGCATGTGACATCAGTGGTTTAACCGTAATTTTACGAAGCTAAGAGAATAATTTTTGTGGACAAAGAAAACCCAAATAACGACTTTATTCAACAATTTCTTCTTTTCCCGTGTAAGTCCCTGATGCACGTACCACGACGGATGCGTGTGATGCCGCTGACGCAGGAGCTGGCGTTCTGACATAGAACGTCCATCTCTCTTAGTTCATCGTCTGTATATCCTAGTTCAAATAAGTAAGGCTGGGCAAAAAATTGCAAGTCATCCTCTCTATCGAAATCTTCAGACATGTTTACGAAGACTGTTTTATGTACAGCGTGCGTCATCGTCTGCTTGTAAACGAGGTGCTGCACATCCCGGTTCTACATCAGAACGCTGGTTCCTGTGTCAGCAGCATCACACGCATGCATCGTGGTACTCGCCTGATCGCACAGCGGAGACTGACAGGAAAGAGAAAAAATGTTGAATAAAGTCGTTATTTTTGTTTTCTTTGTGTGCAAAAATGATTCTTAACGATGTCCTTACTGCCTTTCTGGGCCTTGAACATGTCAGTTACATTGCTGTCTATGCCAGGTCAGAAAGTTCTCGGATTTCATCAAAAATATCTTCATTTGTGTTCCGAAGATGAACGCAGGTCTTACGTGTTTGGAACGACATGAGGGTGAGTAATTAATGACAGAATTTTCATTTTTGGGTGAACTATCCCTTTAAGGTGCCGATGACAGCTCTTTAAGCAGAACACATCTTACCTCTAAAAATGTGGATCCTTCAGACACAGCTATCTTGAACAGAGCATAGATAGGTATACAGATGACTGAAGACAAAGCCATGAGAAACCCAATGACCAATGACCAGCTGGGGTACACATAGTCATTGTAGGTAATGGGCTTGTACTGTATCACGGTGAAAATCAGAATAAACTGTGAAGAGACAGAGACCAAAAAAAGGATTCGATTGAGTGATATGGAGAAACCTGATTTAGGGGAGAAAAACTGAATCAGAAAAACCTAAAACAGGCTGTCACTCACAGTAATAATGAAAGGCGACACAAATCTCCAGCAGATCCTGAAGAAGACTGGAGGAGGGAAGCCTAGCATCATCTCCACATCTTTAAAATAGTTCTTGTGGCCTAGGTGGGAACACAACATTGAAATGAACACCTCAGTGTACATCCAGCTACTCTGGCCTTTAAATAGAGCATGTAGAAAGTGACTTATTTGAGGACTCACCATAGACATACATTATACAGATGCACATAATGCAAGAGATGATGACCAGAGAGAAACTGGCAGCGTAGTTGTCCATAAGCAGCAACCAGTATATTCCTGCCTAAATCATACGCAGCATAATAGATCAAGTCAATCCATGGATTAAGGATGTGTGTCTTTTTTTGTTTGCTCGAGTGTGTTTTTGTTACTCACCCGTGTGGTCAGCGGCACTCCCAGGAGGAATCCTATTACAGCGACTCCCAGTGTGACATAGGTCTTATTTTTGATAATCCAGTCAGTTCCAATCTCATCTACTACAGCCGTCACCAAAGTCTCCAGTAGACAGAACTACAACAGTGAACAGAAAAAAAAAATGTATATCACTTTTTTCATGAACTGCTAGTTAAACAGGACATTTACTAAAATAAATACTAGTTCTGGTAAAGCAAGTAAGGTGAAATTTGTAGGTAAAAATGTAAAATAAATACATAAAAATATACATAAAAGGAGAAGAGGAAAGGTTTTGAAGAGATAAGTAATTTGAAATGTACTATAAACAGATGAAAAAAGAAAAGAACACATTTATAAAACAGGGCATTTCTGTATGCAGATATTATAAAGAAGTCATTGTTGTTTGGATTGTGAATGCTTAACGTTTAGTTGCTGGGAGATTTTCATACTTTAATCTTAAAATCCTTAAAAAGTATAAGACCAAAAATAGACAAAATTTTGAAATTATCATATTCTTATTCATTCCAAAACTGTACACAAAATGTATTGTACCCCATATAAGCGATACTTGATGAAACTCTCATCAAATCCTAATTGCAGTCTGTGTAACAATAGCTCTAAAGGTACTTTTTTGCATATGTTTTGGGACTGTTCAGTTATATCCAATTTTTGGAAACATGTAGTTCAAGTATTAAAACATATCACAAAGTTGCATTTTGACCTTGATCCTTGTCTTATGTTGTTAAATGATGATTCTTCCTACAACTTTACATTAGTTCAGAGAAGATTGTTAATGTCTGGTTTCACTGCTGCTAAAAAAACAATTACACAGCAATGGTTCACTCCTGACATGGATCTTAGAAGATTCTGGCTGCTGTCTTTTCATTATATTGTTTGTTTAGAACGCAGCACTGCAAGGATTAATGGGGCTAGAATACAAACTGTCACTTATTGGAGTAGTATAGCCCAAGCTCTAAAAGAATTGTTTTAAATTGATGATGCATTATTCTGTGTGGTAATTTGCTGCCGGGGTTTATTTGTATGTTTCTTTTAAGTTACCCTGAAATATTAATTACTTGCTGTACTTGTGTCCTTTGTGCGTTTTGTTCTTTTTCTTTTTTTTTCTTGGTATTTATGCTGTCATCCAACATTTGTAATGTTATTATTAAAAATAATAATAATAATAAATTTTTTTTTTGAAATTATCTAAATTATAGTTTGAATAGAGTCCTATAAGTGGTCCAGGCTGAATTTCACAACTGATCAAATGCTTGGTGTCAGTAAGACAGTTTATTTATTTATTTTTTTCATTTATTTACATTTATTTTATTTTTTTAAATTGTAATAATATTTCACCACATTCCTAGTTTTACTACATTTTGTTTTATAAATGCAGCTTTGGTGGGCATTAGAGAATCCTTTAAAAAAAACTTTTTAAAAACCTAACCAATTCCAAACTTTTGATCTGTACTGTAATTGCAAAAAAACTGTGGTAAAGAAAAGAAGGACAAATAAAAATACCTGAGTACCAAGGCCCAATAAAATGAGCATAAAGAAGAACAGCAGGGACCAGAGTGGTGATATGGGCAGCAATGTTAGGGCCTCCGGGTAGGCCACAAATGCCAGGCCTGGCCCATGATCGGCCACCTCTGACACATCCACCCCCAGATGATTAGCCATGAATCCCAGGATGGAGAAAATAACAAAGCCAGCATACACGCTGGTACCACAGTTTGTTACACTGATGATGATACTGTCTCTGTTTGAAAACAGACAAATACATTTTATAATTATTAGTAAGTCTGCAGTCATATCAGAATTTGAACTGAAATTCTTTCATTCCTTCCTTGATTTCACATAATACAAGTTAGAAGTTCTATGCATTTATCAGTACCAGCCACATGGGGGTGCCACAGTATTCTGTTTTCATTCATTCAGTATTATTATGTATGCAAGTCATCAAGCACTCACCACACTCAAATACACAATACTTAAAGTCTACGTGTTTTAAAATGACAGAGAAGCAGAAAAAAATAAAGGGATAAAATGTTTATTACCTAAAACAGTTATTGTGGAACTTGTTATATGATGCCATGGTGATAAGCCCACCCCAGGCGCAGCCCAGTGAATAGAAAATCTGAGAGGCAGCATCCCCCCATACCTGCAGAACACAAAATATGTTATTATAAACATAATATCAGTGATCACTTCAGTGATCACAGTACATAATGTACTGACCTTGGCATCTAGAATTTTCTCCCACTGAGGGGTCAAATAGTATTTGATACCACTGACGGCTCCTTCCAGAGTGATTCCTCTGATGAAGAGAATGGTCAGCACCACATAAGGGAAGGTTGCTGTGAAATACACCACCTGATGAAAGACATAATATTAAAACTCAATTAAAAAAAAACACACATGTAGGTATGGCAAGCAGTGCTATTTCAGTGTTATATTATTTTGAATAAGCTTTTATTTTTACATTTTTAGTTATTTTAATATCAGATTCTATACAGCTTTCACTTTTCTCACTTAAGTTTATTATTTCTTTCTTTATTTTTTCCAGCTAGTTGCCAAAGTTTTTAATCTAATATTCACATTTTAATATTATGTCACAGGAATGGATGTTCAACTCACCTTGCCTGATGACTTGACTCCTCGAATAAGACAGAGGAACACAACTACCCATGATACAGCTAGACAGCCCAGGATAGGTAGACGCACCTCCCCGAAGTCCCCAATACCATCAGAGACATTCAGCACATAGTTCCTGAGAGGGCAAAAGCCAGTAAAAGAGGGGTGAGAGACTGCAGGATGTAATACAAAGCATAAACAATTCACTCATCAAATTTATCATCCTGATCTAAGTATTTATTATTATTAATATTTTGTCAGAGCTTGCCTTTAGGTTAAACACATTAGAGCACAGTTCCATCAAAAACAACCTCATCCACACAATGAATGAGTTTACAGAAGGCAAGAACAAGAAGGTCTTTCATACCACGGGGACAACACAGTCCAGAGGGCACAAAGCATTTATAAAGATGTTAAACGGTCCGCAAACATCTCATGGTCAAAACCTTGTATTCTCTGACCACAGGCAGTAAAGTGAAGCATTCATTCCAAACCACATACAATCACAATCACACTCTTGGAAAATCAAAACATTCTGTGCCTTCTTTCTTTCCCATTGTCTTATGTCATCCTACATAGTGTTCAAAGATAATTCAACAAACACATCTGTCAAGTCCAATGCACAAAGATCCAAACATCAAGACAAAATGCAAGACTCCTGCAAACATGTATTAATTACCAGCTTTCAACTATCAATCTGTCATGAATTTTCCGAACTGATGAATAATGGATTGACTATATAATTATCTTGAGATTCAACTCTCTGGATCTTTTCTTGCTAGCATTTATATTTGTGTATAATAAACATATACGGATTTCAGTGACGCTTATTTTTTGTCTTGTTAATTTATTAAAAAATACATAAAAAAATTTAATTTATGTATTAAAATTAATTTAAATATTTTTGGGAGGCATGCCAGGCTGATACAACTGTCTTGTCAACAAAAGAAACAAATTAATTATTATTTATTATACTACTTATTATGTCTTAAGAAAATGATATATTAACAACTACTGTCCATTTAAAGTTACGTGGTCCAATCAACATGCAGAAAAACTGGAAATTACATCATAGAGAGGACCTGCTCAATAAGTCTCTTAAAAATCTTTTAAAATATCCAAGAATTCTTTTTAGACAAGGCAATGTTATTTTAGGTTTTGAAATGTCATACAAAAACTATAATTCATTTTATTTTATTAATGATTCATAATATAAAAAAAAAACATTTTACCTTTAGACAATTTTTATATTTAAATAATTATAATTACTACAGTAAGATACATAGATGAATCGACCTACAAAGGTGTGCATTTACCTCCAGTACTCTTCACTAGGACTGGTCCTTTTGGTGCGGTTGACTATCTCAGTCACCCCTGACACGACAGCAGACACATTGGCGAAGGTGGCGTTAGCTCGTGGAGTGCCCACCACTCCAGCGCAGTCAGGGGTGTTCCAGGGGTTGTTACAGTACGTCCAGGGCAGCAGGTTTGTCATGGACATGAAGAAGTAATAAAATGCAATGCAAATCACCACATTGTAGTAAATCCCAATATAGGTCGAGACCACCATCATTCCATAGCCCACACCTTGAAGGAAAGAGAACAACCAAATGACAATTTGGTTAATGGATATTTAGTTTTGAAAACCCAGAAAGCAATAGACTCATCTGAGAAACCTGTGATGTAACATCAAAAATAACCAACAACAACAGTGAACACAAAAACGTATATTGGGATTGCATGACATGGTAAATAAATCTAGATGAAATCGTATTATTTTGAAAAATACTGAAATATTGCTTTTCAACACAATAAAGCATTTAATCATATTCTGCATTTCCCAATTTCAACAGTATGTGCAAAACATACCAACCAGTAGGTGGTGTCGGTTTTCATGAATTAAACATTATCTGGTGGCAGTAGAAATACTGAAACCCACGAAACTAAAACTAAACTAAACTAAACTAAATTAATTGAGTGAGTGAGTGGCTGAAATGACTGAAGGAAAAGCTGGCTTTGGAAAAACAATGTTTTTTTCTGTTTATCTTCTGTTTATCCTCATTCAAAATATTCACAAAAAAATGTATTAATTACATTAAATAAAGTTAAAAAAAACTAAAAAAAAACGTTTTTTTAAAATTGTGAAATTAGCTTTTTGTCTTCAGAAAATGTTTGCCACAATGACTAAAAATTTAACTGATATCTATTATTAAAGTAAAAATGTTTTGAAGAAATTATGACTCATGATGAATGCATTTAGCATTCACATGGCACATTTTTAAACCAAACTCAGACCACCTCCTGATTTTGTGAGGAGTGTTTAGATATTGCAAGCCACCCTGAGGTGAAGAAAACACTGTTAAAAGTGTATGTTTAAAGATAATTACTAGTTTAACATGTAAAACAGGTCATGCCATACATTAAAGGGCAAACCAACCCACATAGATTAATCCATGACTTTTCAGTTTTCATTTAAATATTTTTTGTTCTCACACCTCCTTTAACGGCCTCATGCTCACCTTTAAACATGGGGCTGACCTTCCAGACTCCCAAGCACCCGAGGGAGGTGAACTGCCCAAAAGAGAGCTCCAGGAAGAACAGAGGGATGCCACAAAACACCAGCATGATGAAGTATGGGAACATGAAGGCACCTGTGATACACAAATGCCCACAGAGTTACAGAACCATTTTATCCTGACACATTAGTCTTCTAGCTAAAGACAGACACGTAGGTGTTCTTATTTACATAAATAGTAGGAAACAAAAGTAGTTTAAAAATGACACCAAGTATAGCCATGGTCTATTTTCAATTATAGTGTTCCCTAATGCTTACGCACATAAGCAAGTAAACACCTGATGATACACAACCGATCTAATTTGATTGGGCGAGCTGCATTTCAACTGCATACTGGAATGTAATGTGGATTCCTTGCTTTGGGTGTTTTTAAGACAAGGGCGGAGTACGGCCCTGGGCAATGGGGTTGATGTATCAGGGGCCTCTGAGTGCCAGGGGCCTCAAACTGAGGGGCCCACAGTAGCCCAACATCAAGGAACAAGGCACTTCATTCCGATACAGATAGGTGAACATTGCTTGAATAATAATATGGATCTAATAAAATGCAATGAATGATCGAAGATGCATACAAATAGTTAAAAAAAAGCTGCTGGTGCCCTGTGGCCTAACAGGACCATAATCCATCCTTGTTTAAAGAGCCTGGAGTTCAGTTACTTATCTGAATTCTGGGCTAATTCAGGGTATGGCTTCCGAATCCGATAAGAGGCAGCTCTAGGAATATGAGATCATGGGGCAGAGGTTTCCGGGCCAGGTCATTGGGGACCTGCTTCTAGAGACCCTTGCTTACTCTAGCCTGGTCTATTTTAAGTGAGGTGTGTTATGAGACTTGATACCAAACGAGTACCCTTTTAAGGGAGCAAAGAATTTGGAAAGGACCCAGTGGTATGACTTACAAAAACAAAAACCTAAATACCATCAATTTTACTTTCGATTACATCCATAGACTTTCAGACTTACATGAAAAACAATTAACTTATTCTATTTTAGGAATCTAGCAAGAAATTATAAAATGCTAAACCGTGCAGGAAAGGCACAGAAAGAAAGACCAGATAGATCATGGGAAAAGAAGAATAAAGTAAAAAATGGTCACCTCCTCCATTCCTGTAGCAGAGGTAAGGAAACCTCCAGACGTTTCCCAGCCCCACTGCGTAGCCAACACTGGTGAGGACAAACTCAATCTGGTTGCCCCAGTTTCCCCTTCTGGAGTTTTCATCTTTCTTTACTGGCTCTCCTGGAACTGCTCCATTCTGAAACAGACATGCGTACGAATGAAATGAAAATGAAAATCGCTCTCATGAGTCAGAAGTAAACAAATTTTGTTTACAATAAGCACTCACAAAACCTTAATTCAATCAACATTAAGATTCCAGGTTAATATTTATGAATGTATGTGAAAGTATATTTTAGATGCTGTGACTGATTGTGGTTTTCTTTTTTAAAATCATCTTTTGGACCTCCCTAAATTTGCTTAAAATGGTCCGGAAAACAGCATTTTTGCATTATGTGGTCATCCAAGTAATTAAAAAATGCAAACAAATTCTTATAAAACGGTTTCAGGTTAACTTTAGCATGACACAACTCAACTGCATTGACAAAACAAAACTGAAACAATAATGTTAATGCCACGGTGAAGTGATACTGCTCATGCCTCCAACATATGGAGCTCCCATGATGATGCAAGTTTGAGTTTGGGTTGTCAATTCATAACTCCAGTCCCATCACTTCCTATAGCTCTCTACTAATAAAAATGTGTTACAAGAAGACACCTACAAGAAAGCAAGAAGTTAGTCACATGTCAGAAAGTTTGTGTGAATTTTGTGAAAACTCCTAAATTGCATGCTAGCACTGTGGAGGGCTCAGAGAGTGTGCTGGAGCGCACTTGATGTGAACTGAAATCACCGTCATGTGCACAAGACAAACATTTGGTCTTGTCGGCCTGATTTAAAGTTTACTCTCTCCATCTGTTCTCATCAGATGCTCTTCATGTTGACCTCTAAGGCAAGCTCACGATCTGATCTAAGCACACGCTCTGTCCGCACAGTGAGCATGCTGCGGGAGATGAACATTCAGCACCTATGCTTGCGGTCTTCCCTGCAGCTCTGGCATGAATCCAGGCTGCACTTGATGATTCTAGTGAGCAATTATGCTTTACAAATGCTTAGTTGACAACTAACTATGTTTAGATGTAATTGTAAACTTTGTGTTTCATCATTTTCATCAATATAATTGTCACTTAATTAATTCTGACAATTGTAACTTAACTTTCATCAAGTGTAATTGTCACTTAATTAATGTGAGTTAATAATTGCATATGTAATAATTAAAAAGAATTAGAAACTCTCTAGATGAAGTACCACCGCTGTGATATGCTGACTGCCTAAATATAAAAAGACTATGAGCTGGCTGTATAACTGTGTTGTAGCTGTAATGGTATTCCTGCATTTTTTTATTTAAGGTATTTAAGGTTTGCTTCAGGTTACACAAGGCACTAAACACACACACACACACACACACACACCTATTTAGACTCAATGCAGCATCTGAGTCTGAGCTCCCTGGGCCATTGCTTCCCACAGGATCACACAGACACATGTGCATCAGCAAAATGAACAATAATCCAAAGTTTGCCTTTCAGCCCAAATGAAATATTCATTTTGTTAAGCATTAAACAATGCAACATTTCTTGAACAAGAACACAAAAACCCTAGTGAGCATAGACAACTACCACTTATTCTTGAACCTGCAAACGGTCTAACTGTATAAGTCCACTGAAGCAGAATGAGTAGGGCTGCACGATTATGACAAAAATCATAATTGTCGATTATTCCCTTGAAATTGTAATAGCTATTATTAATTACGATTATCACAATTTACACTGAATGATGTTTATACCATTGTTTGATGCAACTGCATGCTGTATTTTTATATGAAAATAAACAAGCTGAAAACACTTAACTGAAAAACTTTTAGTGCTTTTCTATAGTATTAAGCCTCAAATGTCAACAATACATCGGATTGGTTTCTTCTTTAAATTATAAAAAAAGTAAAAATATAAATGGTATTATAGTGTTATACTAAAACTAAAATTAAAATAATGGG